TCTAGTTTCTGCCCTGGTCCTCCAGGCCCGGATGGGGATATTCTTGGGAATTCCACCAGCGGCCCTCCCATCTCCCCCTTGGCCGCAGTGAGTGGTTCAGTGATGGGCCTGTGACCTAACAACCCAGGATAAGGAAACACAACCCCGGGTGCTTTTGTTGGACCCTTTGGCAGATAGAAACCCTTTTCTGTGAGGTCACTTAGATGGTGGAAGATAAGCCTGGAACAGGAAGAAAATGAGGCCAACACCCAGGAAGGACAATCCAAGAGCTAGGAGAAGTCAGATGATGGATAAACTAATTTGGATATGCAGTGAGCCACGCCTGGACCGGTTAGCTACTTGAGCCGATAACTCCATCACTACCATCCCTTTCCTTTCTTCTTCTTCTTCTTTTTTTGCAACTTTGTGTGAGTTTTTGCCATTTGTAACTGAAAGTTTTGATTCATGTCATTGGGAAGGCAAGAGACTTTGAATTTATCTCCCAACCTCAGTGACATCCCACACGTCTCTCCTGGGATAATCCCCAAAAGGACACTTACCCTGCGCCCGAACTCTTCGCCTTGCTTCACTTCCCTAGGGTAGCCGTCGATCAGGAAGCCCGTGGTGTGGCCGAGGCTGGCCGCCATGGCCTCCCGCAGCAGCTCCAGAAGGATGCCCTGCAGCGGAGGGAGGGGTCAGGACCGGAGCTCCTCCCAGAGCAATGCCTGCATGGCCTCAGGGCTCCTCGGTCAGCCCAGCCCAGAGGGAGGGCGGGTCAGATAGGATTAACAGCGGACAGAAATATGCTGTTTCTCATCAACTCTAAGCCTCATTCTCTCCCTGACACACATTTTAATGTCTTTGAAATGGGTAGGTATCTTACAATCAGTGCTGGGCATAATTTAATTATTAGTGTTTTTTTCTTACTGGTATATTTTTACTGGTTATATTTTACTGGGCTGGGGTGTCTTGAAATAATGGCATCTTAGATGAGATAAAATATAGTGGCCGCATTTCACATGGCAGCACCCCATAAATTAGGCAGAACGGCAGTTTAAAACTAGGCAAAACATACTGTTGATTTTTATCAGCAAATGTATTAGATTTGACAGCCAGTAACTTGAGAAGATTTTCAGTAGCTATGAAGTAGCATTTTCTAGCAACAGCACTTTCTCTGTTAGAAATGTAGATAGGACCTGTGCCTATGGCAAGTAAAGGAGGAGAGATGTACGGAAGCTTGGGAAGGGACGCAGGAGCAATGCCCCCAGCCTGTTCCCTGGCTCCCCAGCTCCCCCGGCTTTGGGCAGGGTCTCGGAGAATGCAGGCACCACAGGGTGGTCAGAAACTATCCCTAGATAATGGGAAATTAACTCCTGGTGAAGTTGACATACTAGTGAGGAAGACAGATAATGGATGAACAAATAAGTAACAGTCAGCTAGAG